AGGACAGGGCGGGTCTCCAGATTTTGCCGCAGATGAGCCTGTCACTGCAGGACCAGTGCTGCAGCTCAGGGAGAGCTGAAGGTCTGCTGGGGGGGGGCTAATGGGCAACCTGGGCTGCCTTGCCTGGGGGTACCAAGCCTGAGCCAAGCCCAGGAGGTGGCCTAGAGCCTGTCACAGCACAAAGGCACCCCCCAGCCCTGCTGCCACCCTGCCTTATTCAAGAATTCCCTCCTGCTAAGGTCAAGCGGGCAGCCCTGGGGTGCCAGGACCCGCCTGGGGGTATTTTGGGAGCTTTCAGCCCAACCTTGCTGCCTTCCAAGTTTCCATCGCTGGGACAGCGAGTCCTTCACATCCCCACCTCCCGCCCATCACCAGGGGAGGATGGTCACGACATGCCTTGGGGAAGAGGGGAACAGGCAGCCAGAGTGGCGTCCCAGCCCACGCACGGGGCACAGGGAAGGTGCCAGCTCCAACATCTGCTGCTGCCCGGAGTCACTGCTGAGAGGGACAGGGATGCCACAGGCCACCCCCCCCGGCATGGGAGCACCAGTGACACTGCAGGAGACCTGGTCTTGGGGTCTGGCCCCCAGCTAGGGACACAGCAAGGGTTTTCCCAGCTCAGCTCTTTGCTTAGAGCATCCCCCGGGAAGAGCAGAAGCGGCTGCCAGGCTCCAGTGGTCCCTGCCCTGCCAGCGCTGCATCCCTCCAGCACCATGGCAACGGGCAGAGCAATTAGTTCAATCAGGGTGTTCGCAAAAAGCTCTCTAATGAGAGAGACAGAGCCCGGCTCCGGTTCCCTCCTCAGCCTGCGGAACCAGGGAGCCGAAACCACACAGGAATAGGGACCTGCTCTTCTGCTGCCATCAGTGCCACCATCACCACCCCTACGTGCCTCTGTGGGGGTGTCTGTCCCCCGAGGAACAGCATTTAAAGGCCAGAAATGCAGCCAACATGGACATCTGTCACCGGCATGGAGACCACAGGGCTCTGCTCTTCTACCAGTGCCTTTAGATGGGGCAGGGGATGCTCCACATCCCATGGCAACACACACCGGGTGGGACCCCCGAGGACTCCAGCCCCCATGGGGGCAGCTCCGAGAGCCCCCTTGGGATGGGGCAGGGACATCCCACAGACCCACATCCACCCCTGCAGGCAGGCAGATGGAATGGTTGGAGGCGTGAGCGATGGAGAGCAGGGGGAGGAAGAGGAGCCAGGCATGGGACAGTCCCCAGACTGAGCACCCGACCCCCAGCGCAGCCCCCACCCCACGCGCGGGCACTCACTGGTACAGACTGCTGCCGTGCTGCCGCTTCTGCCCCAGCCTGGCCCGGCTCGGCTTGGGTTCCCTGGCCATGTCCAAATCTGAGGGGAGACAGAGAGCTGGGAAGAAAAGGGGATGCCAACACCCTTCCGCACACAGACCTGTCTCCAGCACCAGCTTCCCAGGGGTTCCTGGCCACAGTCCTCTCCCAGCTGGAGGCATCCTACTCCAGAGCATCCACCTGACGAGCCCAAGGCCAGCAGCGCTCTCCAGATTTAATCTTTTGGAGAAGCATAGGAGTATCCCAGGGTTGTGCCGGGACACGGAGCTGCTCTGCCAGCAGCCTCTCCCCACAGGTGCCCCACGCACAGCATTGCCCCGTCCCCATGAGCCCGTGCCTGTCAGAGGCCAGGCAGGCACCAGTGAGGGCCTCTGATGATGAGGCTAATTAACCCCCAGAGACATTTCCCACCAGTGCAGTGAATCTGCCCTCACTACCACTCCTGCTGGGAATTTTGGCCATTTTTCAGAGGGCGCTGGCCCAGCGGGACGCTGGTGAGTGCTGCCCACCACGGGTGGGTGCCGGGGATGGGGGAAGCCTGCATGCTGTGCACCAGTGAACACCGAGCTGAAGCTTCCCAAGTCTTCCAGGAACACACCAGCTCATCGGAGAGCTCTAGACCTCCCCAGGGGCATGGACACTGGCCACGGGTCCCCTCAAGCCCCACATCCCTCAGAGCATGGTCCCTGTGGAGGCGAGGGCTTCTGAGCAAGATCCAAGTGGAGAGGAACCGGCACTTGTTTGCTTTCCGGGCTGTCACCTTGTGTGACGGACTCTGCACGCTGAGGGAAGCACGCTGGAGGAGCTGGGGAAGGTGCTCTGCTCGTCCTGCATACTGGGGAACGCTGGCACCCAATTTCTGTGGGTGCAGCCAGCATCCCCAGGGATGCCTGAGCTCACCATTGACATCCCTCTCTCCAGCCCATCGCACCCGCTCCCCTCCCTCCCAGTGGGATGGAGACCTCAGCAGCCCAGCCAGGGACCCCAGCCATGGCCAGGCACCCCGCCACAGGCCGCCTGCACCGAGGGGACTGTCCTCTCGGGGCTGGGGACCTGGGCCAGCAAGGCTCCATCACCCCGGGGCTATCGGCCCCGCGTCTGAGCTCCCTGCCTTGTAATGGCAGGGGGTCATCCCAATACTGGGGGGGCATCCCTGTCCTGCAGGTAATGATATGGGGGGCTTCCCAGTACTGGGAGAACATCCCAGTACCAGGAGGTACCTGGGAGGGAACATAGGGTCTTCCTAGTACTGGGAGAACATCCCTGTCCTGGGAGTAACGGTATGTGGGCACTTCCCAGTACCAGGAGGACATGTCAGTACCAAAAGGTACTGGGAGTGGGGCATGGGGGCTTCCCAGTCCTGAAAGGACATCCCGATCCTGGGGGTAATGGTATGGGGGCTTCCCAGTACCAGGAGGACATCTGTGTCCTGGAGGTAATGGTATGGGGGGCTTACCCAGTACCAGGAGATACTGGGAAGGGGAAATGAGGGGCTTCCCAGTGCTGGACATCCCTGTTGTGGGAGTAATGGTATGGCAGCTTTCCAGTACTGGAAGGGCATCCCTGTTCTGAGGGTAATGGTATGGGGGCTTCCCAG